CCGTTTCGAGCGGCATGGTGCGAATAAGAGGTTATTTCGGAATAGAACGAAAACGGAGTCCGAGCGAACAGCGACCGAAAATCGTACCGGTACTCCAGCGCCGACAGTTCGGCGAGGGAAAGAAGGAAACGCGTTACTCCGTCTACATCGAACGAATGAAGGATTATCGTTGTGCCTTCGATCGACCTCGAAATTCAGAGGCCGCCACCTGGAAGCCGCGTGCACCTGGCAAATTCTGGATAGTCCCGCATAGTATTTCGAAGCACAGAGGCAGAAGGAGCGAAAGGGAAAGGGTGGGGGAGCACAATGAACCGATTGTACACCCGCGAGCCCCACGGAATGCCACGGAAATGTGCATCTTATCGTCCGCGCTGCAACACTGCGCGTATCGACCCTGTCGCCGGCAGGCCGTCCTCTCGATTCACGTCGAGCCGAACCGCTAAAAATAATCCCCGGCCTTTCAGGCTGTCACCGTAACAGGCCCATCAATCCGCGGAACGAAACGGACTCGCCAACCGTTCGGCGCGATTCGAAACACGATTAATAATGCGACGAATTGATGCACGAAACGAATGGAATTCCATCGGAAGTTTCTACATTATTCATTACCCTGCACCGTGAAATTCTCTTCGCGATCCGCGGAACGTTTGAACCGCGCCGCGACGCATCAAGCGTGATATACCGATTCCTCGGGGTTAGATAACGTAACGATATCGCTTCGCACGCGCTGAACTTGCTCGTTGGAACACCATTATCGCCGTTGCATCGCCGCGCATGCACTACCGGTCGGACGCGGCGGCCGGTGCGATCGGCCCGAAAAGTCGCGACGATAAAGCAGCGGCGAATAAATAAAAAGCGAGCGGTGTCATAACCGGTCGGGAGTACGATGAACCACTCGCGACACGGTCCCTCCCCGGAACGAACCGAAGAATGGGACATTCCTCGGACGAGCGTGCTTAATTACCACTTTCGCCGGGGAGTCGCGGTTACCCGTGGGCCCGGCGAGGCCGCGAAAACGAGCGGTCGGTACCACCAGGACCGATTTCGGGCACTGGCTGCCGGCTACGTCGACCGGGCCCTTATTGTCGGACCCCGACACGCAGACATTGTTCCCGTCTATGCCACGGAACGCCTATGGCCCGGCCAAACTAGACGGCAGACTGGTTTTTGCCCAATTTAGATCCCCCATTGTTCGGCTGGCTTGGAATGAAAATAGAGAATACGCTGCCGGCTGTGTTCCGACCGTGTGTTGCATAGGAAAACGCGGATGGAGCGAGCCTGCTACGCTCCGAACGAAATCTAGTGACCGTTCAAGGTCGTTCTGCGGCTACCTCTATCAAATCGGCTGGATCCTCCCCCAAACGCTATCTTTTGTGCAGCGAATCGATCGTTAGACCGTTTCGTCTAACGAAATTGTTTTTGTATGCGATGAACGCGCCGGTGCATCGATTCACTTAAAGGTTCACCGTTCAACGTTGGTACGTGTTTCTAAATGAGATTCAGTTAGTCTCGTACACTGCAGTGAAGCGGAAATTACATTTAAACCCTTGATCTGCCGAGCGCGAAACGCTCGGATTATCGGCAACAGAGATCTATCTAACCGGTGAACGGTTACTGGACCGGCTGCCTCATCGACCGCGGTTCACGCTGCACGCGCACCTGATCGAATTCGTCGAGGCGTTCTTAGAATTCGCGGCGCGTTTGTTGAACACCGGGGAACGTTAATTAACAGTGACATATAATTCCGAGTACCGGTTGAATCGAGCGCAAGCTCTATCGAGCCGAACGTTGAATATTTAAACGTTCGTCGAAGCACGGCGCGCAGTCATGATATAAGATATATTCTGTTCCATGAACCGGTCGAAGTAATGAAACGATTTTCATTCTATTATTCCCACCCGGATGAGGATGAGTTCCTGACCGCGTAATTTCATGGATACTTGCCCAGGGGGCTGCCCGTTATACAGAGATGCAATTTTAATTCCCTATGCGGCGTGTGTTGCGACCACGGGCAAGCATGCCGGTCGCTCGAACTTTGAGAATAGGAAAAAGGCGCGCCCGAGCTACGTGAGGTCAATGGGTAAATGGACTTCTCGCTCGCCGGGATAACACTCTCGGGGAATTCTAATCGGAACCTGGAAAAATCACGGACCGGCTCGGATTCAGTGAAATATCCTTTGTATACACGCGAATAAGACACGTCTACCAGAACCGGCGGAATTCATTGGGATTCCAGTTGAATTTTAAATTCAGATCATTGGCCAATTAAATTTATGCTTGGGCGGGAGAGGTGAAATGTTCCGTGAATTTCGAGCAGTCCGGTCGATCGCTTTAAAACCTAGAAAATCGGAAACACGCGCGACGTTCGAACGTTTCGAGCGAGATCGTTCGAATTCCATACCGCGCGATGTTTCTGCCAACAAATAAGGTAGCGGGCGAGTTATTCCGCGCGCAGGAAGATCGAAGATTACGCTGCAACCTCTGCAACCATCCGTCGCCCCGAAGATCAATGTTGCTCGACCGATCGGGGAAGGCAGTCCCGCGCATTCCAGCCTGGTTTCACCATACCGAGAAGGAGGAAGGAGGAGGAAGAAGCAGAAAATGAAGGGTCGCGGCCGTGCAACTACGCGCGAACATTACGCCGGCCCATGAAGGAACGACCGAGACATCTCGGAGAAACTCCTTTTTCCGCGAGAGTCGCACCTGTTGAACTTTCATAAGCTAACGACTCTCCCGTTAAATCGCTGTAAGAGTTTTTCGTCGTTTTCTAGGCTGCGAACGTTACGTAACTTTCGGCTTTCGAGAATAAATTTCCAATAGAAACTCATCGCGATGGATTGAAGAGAGTTTATAGCATTCGGTTACGCTTCATCATATCCAACGGCAGAAATTCCGAAGTTATTCGCGATGTCGCTCGGCGAACTCGACGGACCCTTGAAATCTCTACAAAGAGGAACGCCGCTATCTTTTTCATCGAGCCCGATCATTTATCTTCGGCGAGACATCTGTTTCCTGGACACCTTAACGCGAGACGGCTTCGTTGATTCGGCGAACCGGCCTACAAGAACGCGTTTCATTTTCTGATCTTATCGATAACTCGGGGTAAAAGGGACTCCGGGGGTATCCCGTCGCGTCGGGTCGCAGCTTCCTTCCCGAACGGAACGTTGCACCTGTAACTTTTCAGCGACGCGATTCGGAGCCGATTAATTCCTCGTGGCAGCGTTCTGGCAGCCGAGTCCCGTTACCCGCACATGCACGCGCTTTCGTGCGAGGACTCCGCGCGATCGGCCGCGTCCGAGACGCTCGATCCGTTTCGTTGGATTCTCGTTAGTCTACGGAAAAAAGTTCGTTTCCCTTTCGCGGCAGGACGCCCCGGGAAAAAGAGAAGATAACGAGGAACGCTCGGCTGGAAAATGGGCGCTAGTCGCGGTGCCGGCGTGGCGCGGCGCGGCGCGGCGCGATGGCCGCACAGGTAGCAGCCACGATCCGCCGAGGAAACCGCGCAACGGGAGAAAGAGAAAAGGGGAATCACCTTGCGAGTAACGCGGACAAAGGCAACGGTGGAGCGAAGCTCGCGGGACGGGCCGAAGGTCCCGAAAGAATCGGAAGGTAGGTCGAGGTAAAGCAGACGCCGCCGTCAAAACGGCGACGAAACGCGCGGACGGGGACGATGGAACAGTTCGCAGGGAAGAGGAATGGTTGATCGGAGAGAGCCAGGGCTGCCCGAGGAAACGGGACAGAGCGAGAGAGAGAGAGAAATTTCGTAGGAGAGAGGGGAGCACGGGAGTTGAGTGGACGGTGGAGGCCAGCATGGTGGAAGTCGAGCCACGAAGACGTGACGTATACACTCCAGAAGAGCGTGGTATAGTGCACCATGGTGTGTAGCATGGCATAGTTAAAGTGGGAGAAACTGTGTATGACCGTCCACACCGTAAGCCAGTCCCGTGTGAACGACCGTGAAGCGAACCTCGAACGAAACTCGATCAAGCCGTTGAAGGTTTTCTGTTCCCTTCGGGTTCCTCCTTCTCGGCGCGGCTCGATCGAGCCGAATCGTTCGACCAGTACGAGGTGTCGCGGCGAGAACTCTGCCCGAGGAACAGAAATTTCACAGTGCTCGGAAAGTTGGATGGTCTCCCGACGCCGATTCCCTGTTAATACGGTAACGCCGGTTCCGAGAGGGATGGCTGATTCGACTCTTTGTGGCTAGTGATCGAAATTAACCGAGTGATTCTTGTGATAGAGGGTGAAGTGATTCGCGCGAAGCGAAGAGGAAATATTACCGATAATGTAAGGAGTGCGGAGGAACCGGCAGGCAGAGCAGAGAAGATATTCCGCCTCGGTATGAAAGAAAGTTCGGGGTATCGTTAGGCACACGAAATCGCGTGGGACTGGAGCGCTGTTTCGAAATTCGAGGATCGGAGTGAAACTTTTCTAATAAGGACACAGGTGTGTACGACGTCGACCCGCATCGCACGGTGAAACGCCGGGCAGATTGTCGCCGGGAGCCGGGGCCTGGAAAGCGGAATAGCAGGAAGGAAAAGAAGCTGCGATTGAGGGATACGAAGGCCGGGAAATCGAGGAAAAGGTGAGCGAAACCGGTGGCATACCGTGACGGCCGAAAAGCTGACGCGCACACCGGACCTATCCGCGACCAAGTAGGTCAACCGGCGTGCGCGAGAGTGCGAGACCGAATAAAGGAGAGGAAAAAAGGCGTATCGGTAGGGAAGGATACGGGGCAGGAGAAACGAAAGAAGAATGGCGAGCAGCCGGGGGAATCAAAGTTTCCACGATGCTCGTCGTTTTTACACGGCATAAGTTCGCGATCCAAAATGGCGGCGATCGGTTGGTACCGTGGCACGTTTCACGACGATAAAGACTGGTCCAGCCATCGGCACTCCTGAGGAGAGATCCTTCCAACGTGTCCTTGACATCAGCCCGACCTTGATCGACAGGAGTAACCGCGGCCCAACGTTCCACCGCAACGCGCCAAAGGAGCCAGGATGGCGGGACACTCGAGACTGACGGTCCTGGAGACCTTGTTCCTCTTAGCTTTCGTAGGTAAGATCGCGAATTTCCAAATGTTCCTCGCGCTCGCTGGAAAATCAGCTAACCGGCACTAGAATCTCTTTGCGAGGTGCGTAGGGAATTATGCGTGAACCTTGTGTTGTTGTGAGAAGCGTTCGCAGAATGCGAGGCAATTAAGGTCAACTGCCGAGGATTCTGGTATCGTTCCAAATTCCTGCGGCGTGGATATCGCGCGTATTCGATTCATCTTCACGGCGCTTAATTTCCTGCGGAGGTCCGCGATCCGAGTCAGGAGGCGGCATGGAATCCCGACGACTGGGATCATTCGGGGCATACTTTCGAAGCGATCTCGCAAGCTTCACGGCGCTAATGATCGTCGCGAATCGCATCGCGACGAGAAACCGTGACGATCGGAACAGATTCTGTCTCTGGCCGATCGTCGTTATCCGCGCGAGACAACGAATGCCCGACGAATTAATGCCTGAACCTGCTCGATAGGCGTTTAAACCAGCCACGCGCGGCCGAATCCGAAACCGGTATCTTGACCTCTGTCGAAAATTTCATGTCGTTCGGCGAGTTTCTTGGAGCAACGAGCGGACCGTTCGTCTTCGAGACTTCCGCTCGGCCGCGCGGCGGTAATCTCGTTTCGGGATTCCGCGCGCAACATTCCCGACAACTCTTGCACCCCCTTGACTCCCAGCGAGAAGGTGGAGCAGTGGACTCGGCCGTAATTGCCGCAGAGACTGGTAACATACGATGATTTACCATTTCTGCGATTGCGGATACGTAAGTAGGTGTACGCATCCGGTTCCGGATAAGTTGCCGCGCAGGCGCCCATCGCGGAGAATTAACTATTTACCATGAGAATCTTGGAAACGTGACGCGAAGTTTACAACCGGAGCGACTATCGTGGAAACTTGAAAACCAGAGGTTCGTCGACCCGACGGGGAGCTGTCTCGCGTATAAATATTTAAAAGTGGAGGAAAGCTCGCGGTAATTGCCTTCTCGCCGGTGCGAAGACCATTGGCTCTCTCCGTCATGCGCGTTAATTAGAAACGAACACGTTGCAGGGGAAAAACCTGGTGAAATTTTTAGGCGACTCGTTTATTTCACCTAAAGCAGACGTCATAGGCCCGTCCGAGAAACGACAGAGGAGAAAGCTGAGAGAGCATGACGTGCATTCGTTGCCTGGCACGTACCTGTTACTTTATCATTTTCACATCCCGAAATGAAACGTACGCTCGACGAGGCCGGTGTGAATAATCTTCGACGCGCAACGACGGGAAGCCAAGAAATTCCAACGACTCGGCGAATTTTGATTCGACCGGGTCATTGGCTTATGCAAATTGATTATTTCTCGAGGCCTAGGTGCGGTTCGGCTCATCAAGGTTTCGCAGTCGTCGACCCGTAACCGCTCCACGATGAACGAAGGCCCATAGAATTTTGATGAGTTTTTTTTTCCTGATCCCGTCTCCGGCGCGAGCGCCTCATTTTACGCAACGCGTCGAAGTCTCGTAATAATCGGCGCGCGATCGCTACCGCGGATCAACAACGACACGACGCAAACGCGAACGGAAAGTTTCGTCACCGGACTTTCGCCCAGCCGTGTTCTCCGTGAAAGTGTCACGAAATCGTCGCGCGCGGCGGAACGTGGAGCCGATTGGTTCACCGAGCAGGATTTCGTCTGCTCGAGGATGACGGAAAACGCTCCTCGAAACGCACGTCGCGCGGACGTCGCGTAACGTAACCCTTCCACGAAATAACTTTCACGCGAACATTTCGAAACGTTCACAGCCGGTCGGACCGAGGATCCTATTCCGATGCGCAAACGGAAGATCGATCGTGGAATTCCCGGGGAACACGTGTCCGGCGAGCGGACAGCATCCGTACACCTGCCGAATCTCGCAGGGGAGCTACGAAATGTCGCGTTCGCCGGCGAAAAGAATAAATATTGGGCTGGAATGGTGTACCGTTAACTCTGCCGTTACCGCCTCGAGAGACAGCGCATAGCTCGGTCTACGCTTCCACGGATAAACCCCATCGACGTTTCTTTCTTCTTGCCACGAGCCAGACGTAGTTAGAATTGCGTCACGGGGTCACGGTATACCCCGGTTGCTATAGGCAAACATCGAATCCACGCGTACCGGCGATATTCGCGGCTCGCCCCGTGTCGCTGGAGGGTAACGGTCGCTTCACCTATTCCACAATCGATAACGCTGCTATCGATCCGACGCCGGAAGAGGCGCGGAGATGATTCGTAAAGAGCGGAGTACCTTAATCGCCGCGGCGAAGGTGAACGACGTGGAAGAAGGAAACGCGGCCGTGGATCGCGTACACGCGGCATTCCATTAGCGGAATCCGGAGGCGGTGGATATCATCGTTGCATACATACCTCGGCTGGCGATCGATGGTATCCAGAACCGGTAATCATTTTTCCCGTCGCGTCGCACGTAAGACGCGAACTGTGTTACCTCGTTACCTCGTGAGACGCATGTTTACCGTGAACTTCACGCGACGACGTTCCTGCGTTTTCTCGAAGTCGCTCGCCTGTGAAGCGGCGAACAGTTTACCAACCGCTCCCATCTACCTCCGCGATAAAACCCGATAACTCGCGTAAAGTGTCACGGTCAGGAGTAAAAAGGAGATCGAGTGGGAGGCCGCGGAATCGAAATAGCTGTCGGAATTCGAATCGCCCCCAGCCGGCGATTTCATTAATCCTCGAGCGCGACTCCGGTTAGTCGGACTAACAGCCGCCCGCGAGTTTCCTCGGCGAGGATACCCGGCTCCTGCGCGTCCGATCCAGGACGCTCGAGGTTCGAAACCTGACCAGCAGGAGGCTGCATTCCGCGCGTCGCGACAGAATCAACCATGCGATTCACCTACATTCTCACGGCATCCCTGCGCGACGCTCTCACGTTGGGAAGGTTATGGTGTTCACGCGAACACACCGTTACTCAAGCGAACAGCTGCCTGCGTTTATAATTGTCCTCCCGGGAACACCGCGAACCGAGTCGGAAACGAAAGTCCTGGCGCAGGACGTTCGAACCGAATCGGTCGGGGACGCGGCTTTCTCGCGGCGACGCGATCGAAAGGAAACCGGCGATTAATTAAGGCCGCTCGAATTAGACGCGATTTCCAAAGAGATCGTCGCCGTCGACGCTCGGAGTTTCCGATAGGATTCATCGCGGACCTGGTTGCTCCGGTGCCCGGTTGCGCCGCAATTTACCTAGATTCTCACGCAACCTCGTAACGTCGAAACCTCGACAGCACGTCGACTGGCGAACCGAGCTCTCCACTTCACGGTAATGTCAGCTACAACAGAAACCGTAATCTCGCCGGCGATAATAACGCGTCCTCGCCGGCGCAACAATGCGTCTGCATCTCCATAATGGAACGAGGATAACTGAATTAGCTTGCGCGAGCCTATCGCGACGGAGCTAACTGTAGATCTAGCTTCTCCAGCCGGGGATTTCAATAGTATTACACGTTAGAACATTTTAATAAGCATTAATAACGCGCCGACACGCGAGACGCGGTAATGCTGGTGCGCGTCGTTCTCTTCTACGATCGAGTCGGTTGCAACGCTGACACGTCGCTATGATTCTTCTGAACGGACAATGATCGGATACCCTCTAAGACGTGAAACTGATGCCCGCTGCATCGGCCGTTCCTTTTTCCGCTGTTTCCACGCGAGTCGAAGAGAGAACATCGGGAGCACGATGCTCGCCGAGTAGAACGAGGCGGCGGTTGAACTTAATTACGATCGCGGGTGGGCATTTGTTTGGAAATCACGTCGCTCGGTGCGCCGCCTAATGAGCAATTAGCGAATTAGAGTTACGGAAATGAAAATCGTCGTTTTGCAACAGCGTACCACGGCCGGCGCGGTCAACGTTCCGTCACCCTTGCCCGACAGCAGCGCGACCGAAAGCTCGATCGAAACAAGAAGCGCGCCGATACGCTCCTTACGATCCAGGATATGGTTAATTAACAATTAGCTATAGGTGGAGGACTGTTGCGACCGCAACGAACCGTGGCGATATAAATCGTACAGAAGTTACTCGCGGCAGGCAAGCAGAACGAGGAAAGGATAACGATTAACTCTTCGATGATCGTTAGTATAATGCTACGAATTGGTCAGCTGTGTAACGAATTGAATAAAAAACTTCGCGTGCGCGGTGTCTCGTGAAAGGTTCGAGAGACGGTGAAAGGTCTGGAAAGAAGGGAAAAGTCCGACAGGAAAAATGCCGCGCCGTAATACGAACGCACTTTCTAAGGAACAAAGCTGAACTTTTCGCCCGTAACCGGCTACTTTCGACGAGATCGAGACCCGCCTCGTTCCGCGGACCAGTCCGGCGATCGGAACGATTAGTCGTGCAGGCCAGAATCGCGGGTTTCCATCTGCGATATTCAGGACAGCCGATCGTTACAATCGAGCCCCGACGATCTGTACACAAGGCTCGGCCGCCATCGTAGTTTCACTCAAATTGCTTCGCGCGTCGCTGAATTGCTGCATGGAAATCTCCCCATTGTTTCTGTCCCGGCCACCACGGAATTTTAATGCTGGAACTGTACCCGGGCACGACCGTAAAATACGCGGAGGCACGCGTCCGCCTAACTAGTCGCAATAAAAGTGATATCGGGATAATCGTAAATGCCGGGGGGAATGCGCGATAGAGATAAACTGCGCGAGGATAGATCGAGAGAGAGAGAATTCGAGGCTTCTCCGAACGGCGCGCGATATCCCCCGAGTAACACGAGGATCGCGGCTCCCTTGAAGCGATCGAGAGGAATCTATACAATGTCGATGAACCTTTTTCCCTCGCGACAAGGCGGAAGAGGCGACGCGAAGAACGAGAAAGGGTACGGAGAAACCGGCGGCACGGAGGCAGAGAGAGAAGGAGAGTAGTAATTTCATACGCGTCACGTCCACGGTTGGTCAAACCACTCGATACCGGCCTCGAGAATGTCAACCGTTCAAGTACCGTTTTCCTTCCCGATCGGCCGTGGATCTTCTCGATTTTTTGCGGCCCTCGATCGCGACCCCTCCACCGATTCTACGCGATAGCGCTGCGTTTCTTGCAGTTACCGCGAAATCGTTTAAGCAGCCGATCGACGGCCGACGGATGGATCGCGTAACTCAGCGAGACGCTTTCGTCGCGTCCGTATCGCAGCGTTCGATACTATTCCAGAGATATGCGTCCAATCGAACGAGAACGAACGAAAAAAGCCACGAGGTCCACGAATACCGTTCGACGCGAAATCGGCCGGCCTCCCTCGAATCGTGCGGCGGACGCGTTTCTCACGTATACGTCGAAGGTCTCGTTCCACCGTCTTAATCACGATACGATTATCCATCTCCTTGTAGGGCAATTACGGGCTTCGGTGGGCGATGAGGCGCGCTCCTTGAACTCGCCGCACGCCGTGGCTCTCCGTTTTCCGTGCACGAACGCGCTCGCGAAATTTATGCGATGCACTGCCCGCTAAATTGCTGTATCGAACTGTGCGCAGGTGTGTCGGCTATCCAAAACGATCGAACGTCCTCCCGTTCCTCCCGGGAAGACATAATTCTTAGCGGCAGCGAGTACAGAGAACCGGAGAGGACGTCCAGCGTGTTCCATCGCGATGGATCGCCGACATTCCAGAGGACGATCCCAGCCTTGCAGCTGGAGAGCTCGAAGAGCGTCGCAGGCTTCGAAAAGAACGACGTCAGGTTCGAGGGTACCGGCCACGGGGAGGCTATCGACGAGCTGACATCCTCGAAACACGTCGACCAGATCGACGGGAACAACATAGAAGTGAAGCCGGCCGAGTATTATCGGTGAGTCCATTAATCATTCTTACTGTCGTTCGCAGTTCTGGTTCATTATCTCGAGTCGCACGTTTCTAACGTTCTCGGACCCACTGTCTCGTGCAGCATAGCGCCGACAACGAGCGACACCAGGTCGGGGGAAGGGCAAGGGGCTCCGCAGGGACCAAAACTCTTGTCGGAGCCCCACCAGCTGGTTGGAGAGTCGAACCAACGGGCACAGTACCTGCAGGCGCACTACCTCGATCAACAAAGACAGCCTCGCCAAGAGACCCCCAGGATCTATAGCGAACACGCTCCGCCGCCGATCCTGCAGACCGCAACTCCGGGACAGAGGCAAGCGAATCCTGACATTCAAGACATCATCACTGGCATCGTCAAACTCCTCAACGGGAACGTGAACGTCGCCGCCAACACGGTTAGGCCTCTGCGACCGATCCAAGCGACTAGGTACGTCGAAACAGGGTTTCTATGGTCTGCTGTCTCGTGATCTCTCAATGGGAAACATGGCATTTCCTTTTCGCAGGATCAACAATAGAGGTCCGCCAAGAATATCCGATGTCCCGCCTCTGCCTCCCGATTTCGATACACCTGGAATGAATCCGCCACCTCCGCCGGATCATCCTTACCCATTCGAGAAGCCCCCGGCCCCCGAAAGACCGGTGGTCAATCAGCTGCCGCCCGAGAGGCCTGTCAGACCTTTCGTCAACGGAGTTCCGCTGCCGGAACAGATCGTGCCTCAAGGAAATCGTCCTTGGAACTGGAATCGACCTGGTAATGTCGGAAGTTCCATATGCTGCGTGTCTAGAACTCGTGTTCTTAATCGTTTCGGTGCTAATTCGATCGTGTTGGGCGTGCAGGAGGAAACAGGCGACCGATCCCGCCCTACAAACCATTGCCGCCGACCTTGGACTCCACTTTCCATCGGGAGAAGGATCACGACAAGTATCCAGATAAATCTCAATTCGGCCCGAATCGCGGAGATGAAACGGCGGAATCTTCTACCAAGAAGGAGGACAACGACCGCAACGAGGCTACCACGAACAGTCTGGACGATATGAAGAACCACGAGGAGAGTGTCAATCACAACGACAAGAACAGCGATTCGAAGCATTCGGAAGGCGAGGACTCAGCGAAGAAGGAAAACAAACCTCAGTCTCCGTCCAAGGAGAATAGAATAAGCACCGAGAAGCCGTCGACGCCTGGGTCGGAGTCTAGTCAATCCAATCAGGTGAGCGACGCGAAGAACGAGGACTCCCCGAAGCCTGTGATACCTTTGGAAATCAAACCGACGAAGTCCTCGAAGATCAGCGAACACAGGAATTCCACTTCTAGCGTAAATAACGAGAAACCCGGGGACAAGTCGATAATCAACAAAACGCCTACCAAATCCGTCTCGACGCTGAATATCGAGACCAGCTCGTCGGTCCAGGTGATCGAACCCACGACGACGAAGCTCGTTCAGTCGACGACAGTACCGACCGATAATGCTCCGAGTAATTTACCGAGTACGTCGGCAACGATAACTTTGGAGCCGAGCAAATCGCCGGATTTCGAGAACACGATGAGTCCGTCGAGCGTTTCAACTCCCACGGAAACTCTGCCTTCGACTTTCACCAAGCCTACGCCTAGCACAGAGAAAACCGTGATCCACACGCCAGCCAACGCGTTCACCAAAAACACAGGTAGGGAGGAGGCTCGCAGGGGAATCAATCTTTCTGATCCTCTAAAGCGGCCGTATCGCAATCAATCTATAATGAATTCCTCCGGCGACCTCCGCGGAGAAGTACGGTTAATTAGTCTCCTTTGTAGACCCTATCAGCCGTCATGGTCAATTAATTTCCTTTGTAGCCCCAACGGATCGCTATGCCTACCGACCCCGACCTGGAATCGTTCTCGACGATACCTTGGATTACACAGGATCCCAAGGACTAGCTACCCAACGACCCTACTCTCCGCCGAGACATCCGCCTATCGGTGATATTTTTGATGTCACGGTCTCGGCTATCCAAGGTCCCGGCGGCGGAGGCACCGGTAAACACCGACACGTTCAATTGCGCGAAACCTACGCCGACAGTTTCCCTGTATCCCCTTTTTTCCTTTGACCAGGGGAAGGCGTGAGGGTGCCGATAAACGGTGGGAGTGCGGACGTGATACTAACGTCCGCGGTTGAAGGCCAGGGGTTCGTCAGTATCGACGGGAAGCGAACGTATTTGAACTTGTTCGAAAATTCGGATAGAACTTCGACGCACGTGCAGCCGCAGCCCCAACCGACTAGAACGCAACCACCAGCCGTAGTTGGCACAGGGTTAGTACTCCTGCAACAACGGTAGGGAACATAGTTAACCTAATACAGTGTAATCATCGATTCCCCGCGTGTCCACAGATTCGCAGTTCCCCAGCCGGATCCGCCGACGGCAAGCCCGAGACCAACCGGGCCAATTCGAAGACTAACTTTCCACAGAAGACCCACCCAACCACCGGTCAGAATAGACACTTGCATCGTGGGAGACACCAGCACTTGCGACGTTAGCCAACACGAGGCTTGCGCCACTGTTCAAGGAGTGTCCGCGTGTCACTGCAAGCCGGGATACGCCAGGCTGCAGCATTCGTTGCCTTGCAAAAGTTCGTGCAGATTCGTACCTATCGTAACTACCGTTAATTACTGTCGGCCGTATGCAAAACTAGAGATTTTTGTTGACAGAAATCATAAGTATCGTAGTATCCATCCGAGTAGACAAGATCTACGATAGGAAAGTCGTCTGGGACAGAGGATTCACCGATAAAGACTCCGAACCTTATCAGACATTGTCCTACGAAGCGAATCGAGCTGTGAGTCGAGCTGATCTCAGTAGAAACGAATCGAAGAGCGAAGTGGAAGTTCAAGGGAATTCACCTTTAAATTTTCCAGATCGAATCCGCCATGTCGATGACACCGTTTTCGGACGAATACATGGGCTCCTCGGTAAACGGCGTGTACCAGGGCGACGTCAGTCAGGGGCAAGGGGGAGTCTTCGTGAACGCAACTTTGAAACTCACTTACGAGCCGAGAACAATCAGACCAAGCTTGGCGGGGGAACTGCAGAGGCACTTGCTCGGTGTTATTCACAGGAGGAGCAATAACATTGGGAACAGCGCGCTTTACGTTGACAGCCCACCTGGATCTATATCGAACTTGCAAGGTTTACATCCGAACAATAAAAAAGAAACTGCTGCAGATAGAAAATTGCAACGAGAAGGAACAACCGGTACTTTACATTTTCAGACCTGGACGAGTGTGCCTCGTCGGAACTGAACGACTGTCATTCGTCGGCGACCTGCACGAACAATTGGGGCGGATTCACCTGCGCGTGCAACCCAGGATTGAAGGATCCGCACAAGGACGATCCGAACGAGTCAGGAAGAACGTGCATCTCGTGTCCCTCGACTTACTGCAACAATCGAGGCTCGTGCTCGTACCAGGGCGATCATATGCAGTGCACGTGAGTATATTAATATCGGATCGCAATAAGGGTTCGCGGGTCCCTTCCGGTGACCTTGTATCAGCTAGGCCCTACAAGAGTTTCCGGACGATTAATTCGTTCTGTTCGCAGGTGCACTGGAAATTATTACGGTGCTCAGTGCGAGGTCGACGGAGAGGTTCTAGGGGTAGCAATAGGAGCGTCAGTAGCAGCTTTAATAATTATAGTCTTAACGCTGGTGTGTCTCGTCATGTGGAGGTAAGAATAATAATGTCCCCGACACGCCTACGTTTATCAATTGACTACCTTCGTATTATTAATAACGCGCGTTACAGTCGAAGGTGGTCGCGGGAACAGAAATCGATCGGCTCGCCGGTCTACGGGTACATTCAGGGTGGCATCCCTGGTACCCTTCCGGGAACGCTGGCTAGGGTCGGATCTGTGGGCACCCTGGCTTCTGTAAAGCAAGGGCCACCGACTAATTTGCCACCCTACATGTGGGCGCATTTTGGAGACCATATGGCGACGGCCAACGTATACGCGGTGAGGAGAATCATTGTTTCAGGCACTCTCAATCCATTAACCGAGTTGTTAACGCTAGGTTTACGGAACGCGTCAAATTGACGCATACTGGATTTTAGAAATATTATTTTGTAAACGTTTACGCCGATTTTGATTGATGCGATCACACTGATATGCACCCCAATTACCTACTATCAAATCTCCAGTTTCCACAATCGAA